TTAGGGGGTTCGCCCTTCTGATGGCGTTAAAAAGTGGTTTGAAGCACTAACCGGGAAATTCCTACCATTTATTGTCTCATATATTTCTCACTTCATCTGTTTATATAGTTTGAATTATAAATTAAGGCCGCTTCGCGGCCCTAGTATAATTCTCATTTTTATTAAACATGTTTATTCTGTTTTTAACACTTTTAACACTCATAATACATTCGCACCTTCCGTACTATTTGTCGAAGCTGTAGCCTGACAGCCGAAAGCTTATTTTTAGAAAACTTTTAACCATAGAGTTTATATTTTCAATACCTAGCGTATGGTTAATTAAGCGCGATTGGATGGAGCTTTAAAGAGACAACGGTTTTGATGGTGGGGTCTGCACAACTTGTGCTTTGACGTCTGTTTACTTATTGCTTGTTTTTTTTTTGTTTTGTTTTGTTTTTTGTTTTTTTTCCCGACAACACTTAAAAAGATCAAGTATTGATATTCAATACATACACTGTAATGCAATTTTAGCTCCATGTCCTGATCCCGGAGTGCCAGGCAATGGAAACAGAAGCGGTGATGACTTTAGACACGCTAAATCGGTAACCTTTAGATGCAACGAGGATTATGAACTGGAAGGAGAAGCAACCATCAGCTGTAACAATGGAGACTGGACAAGCAAAAAACCCCTGTGTAAAGGTATGTACATCTAGAATGCAAATGGTTCTGCTAATTGTGCTGTAGCAATAAACAGCTATTTAACAAGCTGTGCACTTTAAAAAAAAGGGAAATCGAAACAAAATATTGTCTCTAGGTCAATGTATGAACCTAGCTTGCATTTGAGGCCAGAAAACAACTACAACCTAGCTGTAATTCTCACAGGCACATCATATTAAATAGGAAAAATACGATAAAAATACGCCTCGCTATTTAAAGCCTAGATTATCATCTTCATGAGCATTTTGTTGCATTTTAAGACAGGTTTCTATTTTTTTACACGCCTTTTCCTTACAATCAAGTATACTGTGTTTTGAGGTTCTTCAACAATGCAACTGAAGAATCAAACATGGTCTGGTTCACAACACCTTATGCCTTTGGTTATTCAATTATGATTTCATTAAAAACGATACCATGTTTATCCATGTTTTTTTGTTTTTTTTTTTTTTGCATTGCAAATTATTTTACTGCTATTTATATTATGCTAAACGCAACCAAGTTAAACTATGCCTTGGTTATTCTTTTGTTTATGCCACTTTTATAAAACTGTATTGTTTACTTTTCAGTTATTTCATGTAAAGATCCAGGAAGTCCTTCACATGGACAACAATCGAAAGTAAAGAACTTCGCTGTCGGCGGATTCGTGCAATTTAGGTGCAGTGAAAACTACACCATGGTGGGAAAAGGCAAACTAACTTGTCTCAAAAGCAGGACATGGAATGGAGAAATACCGAAGTGCTTAGGTTAAACCTTTCGTAATAAGTACAATCTCAGCTGTGCAATTTCTTTTAAGAATGCCTGCCTGTAAAAATCAGACAAATTCTTAATTTCGCGGCAAGGGTCAAAAATTCGATTTCGCTCATAT